AGCCGAGCCTCGTCCTCACGTCGCGCGAGCTGGCGACCCGCCCTGCTCTGGCAGGGCGACGCACTCGCTGTCCATCAGCCGGCCAGCCGTTTGATTCACAGGCGACCAACTTGCCGTGGCAAGGCGACGAGCTCGCGCGCCGAACGCTTCTTGTCGACGAGATGCCGTGGAAGATGCCTCTCCCCGCGCCGATCCCGAAGGTCGGCGCCACAGCGCGCGCCGCGGCGGCGCTCGGCATGTGCTTGGGTGGGCGCGGCAGGGAAGAGGGGGGCGGCGAGGCGGGCGGCGAGGCGGGCGGCGAGGGGGGCGGCGGCGAGGCGGCGGCGAGTGCGGAGGGGGAGGTGCGGGGAGGGCAGGGGAGGGGGGGCGGCCCCTGTGAGATGGGGTGCGCTGCGGCGGGCGGGCGTGCAGCCGCGGCAGCACGCGCGCCTAGCATGCTGGAGATGGCCGCACTGCAGCCGCACCTCCCCTCGCATCCACGCGGCCGCCACGGGTAGATGGCACGGCTGCCTTGCTCCACACACGCGCCTCTCCCACACGCCCTGCCGGCTGGCCGTGCTTCGCGCTGCAGGCGGGCGAGGGGTGGCGTCTGCCCGAGCGGCGAGGCGGGCGGGACAGGCTCGCGCCCGTCCTCGAGGAGAGCGGACATGTCCCGGACACGTCCACGACATGTCCGAGACACGTCCCACAGGCTCGCCTCGAGTACGAGCAAGACCATGTCCCGGACACGTCCACGACATGTCCGAGACACGTCCCACAGGCTCGCCTCGCCGGAGGAGGAGAGCGCGGCGCTGGAGCGCGAGGGGGGCGCGTACTGCGTCATGACCTCAGGCACCACGTCCGCCGCCAAGACCGTGCTGATAGAAGCGGAAGATCTCCCCAGATCTCGCGCTGATAGAAGCGGAAGACGTGTTCATGTGTCACAACTAGTTCATGTCTCACAACTCCAGACACACGTACTCCGCGGCACTCCTACCCGTTGTACTCACGCGCTGCTCTCAACTCGCTGCCCAGCAGTACCGTCCTCCCGGCCTGAGGTTGGCGTATCGCGCCCGTAGGATCGTGCTGCTCCCTGCCGCCGCGATGACCTCCGCGATGCCGTACTTTCGCGAGTCGCTCGTCCCGGGCGACCGCGTGGGCACGTTTTGGGCGCACCGATGCCCCCCCTGCTGACAGCTGGCCGAGGAGCAGCGGAGAGAGTATGGATCGGCGGTTGAACGAGTTAGGTGTACTACTACTTCCTCTGCCCGATTCTCTCCCAGTGCGCCACCGTCCTGCTGCCCGATGCGGCATGCATCGACCCGCACCTCATGCTGAAGCTGCGAGTGAGTTGCTAACGAAGCGAGTCCATTCACAGGCCTTCATCGACCCGCACCTCATGCTGAAGCTCACCTCGCGGCACCGGCTGACGCAGCTCTACCTCACACCCTCCATCCTCGGCGCGGCTGCTGCGCGGCTCCGCCAGTCATTAGAGCCAGTCACTAGTGCCAGTACACTCTACGCGTCACGCCCTCCTACCTCAGGCTCCGTGCTGCGCGGCACCGAGCCGCACGCGCTCAAGGCCGCCTTCGCCACCGTCCGCGCGATCTGGTTGACGGGCGAGTCGGTGCGCGCCGAGATCGTCCCGAGATCGTCGCGAGATCGTCGCGAGATCGTCCCGAGATCGTCGCGAGATCGTCGCGAGATCGTCCCGAGATCGTCGCGAGATCGTCGCGAGATCGTCGCGAGATCGTCGCGAGATCGTCCCGAGATCGTCCCGAGATCGTCGCGAGATCGTCCGAGCCATCGTGCAAGATCTCGTGCGAGATCGTGCGAGAGTGTCGCGAGATCGTGCGAGATCGTCCCGCGAGATCGTGCGAGATCGTGCGAGAGTGTCGCGAGATCGTGCGAGATCGTCCCGTTCCACCGCCTCACCCCCCGTGTGGAGACACACACACACACACACACACACACACACACACACACACACACACACACACACACACACACACACACACACACACACGCACACATGCACACACACACACACACACACACACACACACACACACACACACACACACACACACACACACACATACACACACACACACACACACACACACACACACACACACACACACACACACACACACACCAGGTGCGCAAGGAGATCGTCGACTCGCTCGCCGCGCTCCTCCCGCACGTGGCGCTGCGCAACTGCTACTCGACCAATGAGACGGGCGAGCGAGGCCATGGCGAGCTGATGCCGAGTTCACATGCAATGCGCCACCACTGGGCACTCCGACTCAGGCGACCTCGGCCTGTGCGACCTTATCGGCCCGGCGGCGGGCGGCTCCTCCTCGTCAGAGTACCGCCTCTTCGACGACCTCGAGGCGCTTCCTAGACACTTCCTAGACACTTCCTAGACACTTCCTAGACACGTCCGAGTACACACCCACACACACACACACACCTCCCCCAGGTGCACTGCCTCGAGCCGACGACGGGTCGCCCTGTGCCCGTCGGCTGCGTCGGCGCTCTCCACGTCCAGTGCTGCTCGCTCTACCTCGGCTACTGGACAGACGGCGGCGTCAAGCGCGCGCAGTCCGCCTGCTCGCTCACCGCCGCAGCGCCGCGGAGGTGCGCCGAGGCGCAGTTCACGGGTGGCACTTCCTAGGACACTTCCGAGACACTTCCTAGACACTTCCTAGGTGCGCCGAGGCGCAGTTCACGGGCGACCTCGTGCGATGGCTGGGGGGCGGCAGGGTTTCTTTTGTGCGGCGCGCGGCCGGGCCGCATGTCGAGAGGTCCGCGGGCGTGAGCGGCGTCTCTTCACAGCAGCGCGGTGTGAACAGGCGCGCGGCGGGGTCGCACGTCAAGATCCGCGGCTTCAAGGTCTTCCTCCACCTCGTCGAGCAGACGATGCTCGAGCACCCGCAGGCCAGCCGCCACGGAGCAGCCAATAGCTCGCAATGACGCCCGGTGAGACGATGACGCCCCGGCCCGCAATGCCACCGCAGGCCGGGGACCAGAAGACTCCGGAGGAGCCCCACCGACGGAGGCCTAAGGATGGTGCTCGCCCCGCCCCCTCCCCCGCCCCCCGCAGGTCACGACGGCGTGGGCCGACCTCGAGATGGCGCGAGATTGCCCGAGATTACGCGAGATTACGCGCGAGTACAGGTCAAGACGGCGTGGGTCGCCGCCATCGGCGACAACGACCAGGAGATGCGGCTCGAGGTGTGCGTCCTCACACCTGTCGTCTCGGGCAATCTCGGGCAATCTCGGGCAATCTCGCGCAATCTCGCGTGATCTCGCGTGATCTCGCGTGATCTCGAGGCGTGCGTCCTCACCGAGCCGCCCGACCTCGTCATCTCGACGTACACCCTTCGAGACTGGATGCAGCTGCGGCTGCCCGCCTACATGGTGCCCGTCGCGATCTACCGCGTGCCGAGCGCGCGCGCGGTGCCTGCTACCGGCACCACCACGGGACTGAGCCCACACTGGGTTCGATCCTCTGGAGGTGTGGCACTAGGTGCCGGTCGCGCCGAGCGGCAAGCGGCCCGGCGGCGCGGGCGCGGCGCACTTCTTCGCGACTCTCCCCTCGATCGACGCACTCCGCGACGAGCAGGAGGAGGAGGAATTAGTGGACTAATGACTCCGCCCGTCCGTGAATGAGTTACGCTCCGCGACTGGGCAGGATAAGGAGGGCGGCTTCGGCAGCCTCTCGGAGCACCAGACGGCCGTCGCCGACGCGTGGCTGGGTGGCCGTGCCTGTGAACAGCGTCTCTTCACACCTGCAGCTGTGAACAGGCCGTCGCCGACGCGTGGCGCGGTGGCCGTGCCTGTGAACAGCGTCTCTTCACACCTGCAGCTGTGAACAGGCCGTCGCCGACGCGTGGCTAGGTGGCCGTGCCTGTGAACAGCGTCTCTTCACACCTGCAGCTGTGAACAGGCCGTCGCCGACGCGTGGCTGGGCGGCCGTGCCTGTGAACAGCGTCTCTTCACACCTGCAGCTGTGAACAGGCCGTCGCCGACGCGTGGCGCGAAGTGCTGCAGATGCCGCTGCCGGACCTATCGCCGGGCACCTCCTTCTTCGACCTCGGCGGCTCGCTGCAGGCCGTGCAGCTGGCCAAGCTGCTCAACGAGCTGGACGGGCGCGCCAAGGAGGAGGCGCCAGTCACGATCGCGCGGCTGCTCGCCGAGCCGTCGCTCGCCGGCATGGCGCGGGTGACGTTTGCCGCCTCCGCGGCGGAGGCGGCGGTGGCGGACTGCTGGCGGGAGGTGCTGGGGATGCCCCTCCCGAACCTCGTCTCGACGACCTCCTTCTTCGACCTGGGGGGCTCGCTGCAAGCCGTGCAGCTCGCCAAGCTGCTCTCCGGCCTCGAGGGCCGCCCAACCAAGGAGCCATTCCTGTGGCTCTTGTGACCCGCCTGCTCCTCCTCCTCCTTCCCCTTCCTCTCCTCACCGCCCTCCTTCCTTTCTCGTGACCTCTCATCGCCGCCCCGCCAGGACTCGATCGCGGTGACGCTCCTCCTCGCCGAGCCAACCCTCGAGGCGATGACATCTCCTAGACACTTCCTAGACACTTCCTAGACACTTCCGAGCCAACCCTCGAGGCGATGACATCTCCTAGACACTGCCTAGACACTGCCTAGACACTTCCTGGACACTTCCGAGCCAACCCTCGAGGCGATGACCCGCGCAACCTTCGGCGGCGGCGGCGCGGCGCCCGCAGTGCCCGCCTTCGACCCCGTCGCGGAGGCGGCCAAGTACAGGATCCCGACAGAGCCGTCAGGCCGCACGGCGCAGCAGGCGCTCTCCGAGTACGAAGTCATGAACGGAGTAGTTAGTGAACGTCACCAACGAAGTCACTCATTACGAGGCGCTCTCCGAGTACGCGGCTCGGCCGGGCGCGCGCATCGTCTTCCTCACGGGCGCCTCTTCCTAGACACTTCCTAGACCCTTCCTAGACCCTTCCTAGAGACAGACACTTCGTCTTTCTCACGGGCGCCTCTTCCTAGACACTGCCTAGACACTTCCTAGACCCTTCCTAGACACTTCCTAGACCCTTCCTAGACCCTTCCTCGAGACACTTCCTAGACCCTTCCTAGACCCTTCCTCGAGACACTTCCTAGACCCTTCCTAGACCCTTCCTCGAGACACTTCCTAGACCCTTCCTAGACCCTTCCTCGAGACACTTCCTAGACCCTTCCTAGACACTTCCTCGAGACACTTCCTAGACACTTCCTAGACCCTTCCTCGAGACACTTCCTAGACACTTCCCAGACACCTCCTAAACACTTCCTAGACACTTCCTAGACACTTCCTCGAGACACTTCCTAGACACTTCCCAGACACCTCCTAAACACTTCCTAGACCCTTCCTCGAGACGAGCTCGTGCGTGAGTGGGAGTACAGCTCCTCGCCGTCTAGGAAGCGTCTAGGAAGCGTCTAGGAAGTGTCTAGGAAGTGTCTAGGAAGTGTCTAGGAAGTGTCTAGGAAGTGCTCGTGCGTGAGTGGGAGTCAGCTTCTCGCCGACTAGGCGCCACTGGCCACGTGGGCGCGTACATCCTCCACGCGCTCGCGCACTCGGCCGCCGTCGGCGCGGTCGTGTGCCTCGTGCGCGCAAAGGACACCCCGCCGTCGGGCCTCGGCCTGGAGGAGCTGAATTCGAGCAATGAGGGAGTGGATGGATGGAATGACTGTGCTTAGGACCCTGACTCGGGCCTCGGCCGCCTCCGCGACGCGTGGGCGAAGCGCAAGCTGCTGCGGGCCGAGCGCGCGGACGGCGCCCTCTTCGACGCGAAGGTGTCGTGCGTGTGCGGCGAGGTGAGCACGCCGCTGCTCGGCCTGATCTCGGGTGCTCTCGGCTCGTCTCGGCTCATCTCGGCTCCTCTCGGAAAGGTGAGCAAGCCGCTGCTCGGCCTGAGCGAGGCGGCCTTCCACGGGCTTGGCCGAAGGACCGACTTCATCATCCACGTCGCCGCCGAGGTGAACATGGTCAAGCCGCCGCAGGTGAGGAGACCCGAGAGCAGCCGAGAGGAGCCGAGAGGAGCCGGGAGGAGCCGGGAGGAGCCGGGAGGAGCCGAGAGGAGCCGAGAGGAGCCGAGAGGAGCCCGCCGGCCCTCGCCGGCTGGGCGGTCCCAGTAGTGCCCCTCCCGCAACACGAGTGCGCGCGCCACTCAGGCCCTCGCCGCCTCAAATGTGGGAGGCACCGCCACCGTGCTGCACCTCGCTGCTCTCGCCGGCGCGCCAGCCGGGCCTTGACGTCGACGCGGCGGCGTCTTTCTTTTTGACGCGCGCCTTCTCCTTGTAGGCGCGCCAGTCGCCTTCACCTCGACGATGCTGCCGCTCGGCGACACGGCGCCGTCCGGCTACCGCCAGACCAAGGCGGCCGCCGAGGCCGTGTGCGAGCGCCACTTCGAGTCGCACGGCGTTCCGTCCGCACCGCTGCAGCTCGGCGACATCGGGATGGCGACGGCGGCTTGCTCCGTCGATCCCCCACGGAGCTCATTAGGGGTCGTTCGTGTTGATCGGTGCTGGCTAGCTCATCAGGCGGCCGGCTCGGTCATCCCCGACGACGACGCTTTCGTCATCGTCCTCAAGGCGTCGTACCCGAGAGTGCCCGAGAGTGCCCGAGATTCCTCCCCGACGACGCCGTCGTCATCGTCCTCAAGGCGTGCGTCGCGCTCGGCCTCTTCCCGGACGTGTCCCGGACATGTCCCGGACATGTTGTCCTGTAAGGCGTGCGTCGCGCTCGGCCTCTTCCCGGACGTGCCGTGGGCGTCCTCCCTCATGGCCGTCGACCAGTGCGCGAGCCTCTTTGTGCGGCTGCTCGTCGACGCGCCCGCCGGCGAGTTCTCGGGCCGGCCCTCGGAGGTGGACACTTCCTAGACACTTCCTCGACACTTCCTCGACACTTCCTAGTTCTCGGGCCGGCCCTCGGAGGTGGACACTTCCTAGACACTTCCTCGACACTTCCTCGACACTTCCTAGTTCTCGGGCCGGCCCTCGGAGGTGGACACTTCCTAGACACTTCCTCGACACTTCCTCGACACTTCCTCGACACTTCCTCGACACTTCCTCGACACTTCCTAGGTGAAGGGCTCGCTCGTGCCGTGGGGGACGCTGTACGAGTGGCTGCGCCTCGAGGTGCCGGCACTGCGCAAGGTGCCGCTGCACGAGTGGCGCGAGGCGGCGAGCGCGCGGCGCGGCTCCCTCTTCCAGCAGCTCGGCCTCGTCTTCGACGACTTTGCCGACGAGCAGGCCCGTCGAGCGAGAGTGCCGCAGAGGACCCGCAGAGGACCCGCAGAGGACCGCAGAGGACCCGCAGAGCACCCGAGAGGACCCTCAGAGTACCTGCAGAGTAATCGAGAGGGCCAGAGAGGACCCTCAGAGTACCTGCAGAGTAATCGAGAGTGCCAGAGAGGGCCCGCAGAGGGCCCGCGCGGACCCGAGCTGAGCCGAGGCCGCCGACGAGCAGGGCCTCGAGGGGGAGCGCCTCGCCCGCGGCTAGTGAATTAAGTAGTTGGTGAATGAGTGAACTAATGAATTAGGGCCTCGAGGGGAACCGCCTCGCCCGCGGCTAGTGAATTAAGTAGTTGGTGAATGAGTGAACTAATGAATTAGGGCCTCGAGGGGGAGCGCCTCGCCCGCGGCTAGTGAATTAAGTAGTTGGTGAAAGTGAACTAATGAATTAGGGCCTCGAGGGGGAGCGCCTCGCCCTCGGCTAGTGAATTAAGTAGTTGGTGAAAGTGAACTAATGAATTAGGGCCTCGAGGGGAAGCGCCTCGCCCGCGGCTAGTGAATTCAGTAGTTGGTGAATGAGTGAACTAATGAATTAGGGCCTCGAGGGGGAGCGCCTCGCCCTCGGCTAGTGAATTAAGTAGTTGGTGAAAGTGAACTAATGAATTAGGGCCTCGAGGGGGAGCGCCTCGCCCTCGGCTAGTGAATTAAGTAGTTGGTGAAAGTGAACTAATGAATTAGGGCCTCGAGGGGGAGCGCCTCGCCCGCGGCTAGTGAATTAAGTAGTTGGTGAAAGTGAACTAATGAATTAGGGCCTCGAGGGGGAGCGCCTCGCCCGCGGCTAGTGAATTAAGTAGTTGGTGAATGAGTGAACTAATGAATTAGGGCCTCGAGGGGGAGCGCCTCGCCCGCGGCTAGTGAATTAAGTAGTTGGTGAATGAGCGAACTAATGAGTTAGGGCCTCGAGGGGGAGCGCCTCGCCCGCGGCTAGTGAATTAAGTAGTTGGTGAAAGTGAACTAATGAATTAGGGCCTCGAGGGGGAGCGCCTCGCCCGCGGCTAGTGAATTAAGTAGTTGGTGAATGAGTGAACTAATGAATTAGGGCCTCGAGGGGGAGCGCCTCGCCCGCGGCTAGTGAATTAAGTAGTTGGTGAAAGTGAACTAATGAATTAGGGCCTCGAGGGGGAGCGCCTCGCCCGCGGCTAGTGAATTAAGTAGTTGGTGAAAGTGAACTAATGAATTAGGGCCTCGAGGGGGAGCGCCTCGCCCGCGGCTAGTGAATGGAGTAGTTGGTGAATGAGTGAACGAATGAGTTAGGGCCTCGAGGGGGAGCGCTTCGCCCGTGGCGGCGGCGACGGCGTCGAAGTGACGCGGCAGGGCGTCTCGCTCACCGTCGGCGAGGCGTGGGGGCGGCAGCTCGCGGCGACGATCCGCGACGAGCTCGCCGAGTCGGCGCGGGCCGAGGCCGCCCTCGCGCAGGCCGCCGTCGACGAGGCTGCCGACGTGACCGACGCTGAGGGGGAGGGCGGCGGCGGGCCGGCGGCCGTGCTCGCGTCCATCTCTCAGAACCTTCACAGCCGCTTGCCGCGCGTGCCGTCCAAGGGGTCGATCCGTCTCGCGTCAAAGATGCGGCAGGCGGGCGAGACGGAGGGCCCCCCCCCTCCCTCCGCCCTCAGACTCGTCCTTCACTCATGAGCCACGACGCGGCAGGCGGGCAAGACGCTGCGCACGCTCGCCGTCAACGCGACGGGCGGGCGGCTGCCGCGAAACCTGAGCTTCGTCCAGCGCGAGTCGGTCAAGCACAAGCTGCGCTCGGCGCCGGCCAACGTGCGCAAGGTCTTCAAGCGCGCCGTCGGCCAGTGGCGCGAGCGGCGCGAGCGGCGCGCGCGCGGGCGCTTCCTGGTCCGCGCCGGGACGCGGCACGCATTTCACACTCCACTCACACTCACTCGCCCCCACTCGCCCTCATCGACACTGAGCAGGTCCGCGCCGCGCTCGGCACCGCCACAAGCGCGATGCTCGTCCGCAACCTCGGCTACGCGCCGCTCGTCGTCTCTCGCCTCGGGCTGCGCCGCCCGGGCGCGTTCGACGGCTCGGACGAGTCGGTCGTGCTGCTGCGGCGGGCGGACGCCACACCGAGCTCTCACACTTGGTGACGCGAGTTGAGACGACTCAGGTCGTGCTGCTGTGGTGGGCCGCGCTGCTGGTCAACTCGCTGCTGCAGCTCAAGTGGTTCTTCACCGTCAAGGAGAACTTGCCGACCCTCAACGGCGCGCAGCGCAAGCGCTTCCTCTGCGCCGCCGCCTACCTGATCGGCTCGACCGTCCGCGCGCTCTACCCCGTCAACTGGGAGGTGCTTGGACACTTCCCAGACACTTCCAGGACACTTCCCAGACACTTCCTACCCCGTCAACTGGGAGGTGCGGCCGCGCGGGGAGCTGGGACACGCCCTCGACACGCCCACGACACGACCCGGACACGCCCACGACACTTCCCGGACACGCCCACGACACGACACGACACGTCCTCGACACGCCCACGACGCGTCCACGACGCGTCCTTGTCCGAGACGCGCCCCCGACACGCCCAAGACGCGTCCGCGCAGGTGCGGCCACACGCGTGCATGTTCAACACGAGCTACATCGGCTCCGTGCTCGGCGGCGAGCTGGTCGACCGCGTCCTCGCGACGGGCATGGAGCTCGCGATCGCCCACCTCGTCGTGAGCGCGATCGCCGACGTCAGCGAGCTGCACGCGCGCACCTCTGCCGCGCGGCTGGCGCGGGCGTGCTTCTACCTGGTCGGCGTCGCGCAGGTCCCAGACACTTCCCAGACACTTCCCATACACTTCCAGGACACTTCCCAGACACTTCCCCAGACACTTCCTAGACACTTCCTAGACGCCACCCGGTCGGCGTCGCGCAGGTCGCCTGCTGGCTTGGCGTAGTCACGGACAACAAGCTCTACCACGTGTACGAGGAGGGGCTCTGGGGCATCGCCTTCACCGTCCTGCTCGGCATCACCGTGCACACGCGGCGGGTCATCGCCGTGCGCGACCACCCGGGCGAGATTGGACAGGCGAGGCTCCTCACCGCCATCTGCCCGCTGATCAGCCTCTACCTCGCCTTCCTCCTCACGCACGACATCCCGATGTACCTGCGCCAGTGGGCGGCCGACCAGGCCGCGGGCACAAAGTACAACGACCTGCAGAGCGGGATGCAGGCCTGAAGCCATTCTCGTTCGCTCCCCCGTGCTTACTAAACCAGTAACTCATCAGTGCCCTCCACGGTGCGGGTTGCAGGCGCTCCTGCAGTGCGACGCCGTCGAGCGCTCCTTTGCGATGTGGCAGGAGGGCCTGCCGTGGATGACCGCCACGTTCGTGCCCGGCCCCTACATCGCCATCCTGCTGCTCGAGGCGTCGGTCCGCTCAGAGGTCGCCATCCACCACGGCGCTTCGCCCTGGCCGCTGCTCGGCTGGCGGGCGGCACGGCCGGCGCGAAGGCCGTCCGCGGAGGAGGACGTCGTCGCCGCGGCGAGCTCGGCGAGCTGACGAGCTGCTCGGGTTGGCCAGCGAGGTCGCGCCCGGATGCCAGACGCTGTCCCCGGCAGAGTTCGAGGACTCACACACCATGTGCCCGGGATGCCAGCTGTCTTTGGCGTGGCGTCTTGTGTCTCTGTCTCTCCCTGTCCTGTCCGTTCCATGCGTGTTTGTGCGGCGAGACGCGCCGCGCTGCTCTTTTGTACCATGTGTGCTGTAAGACCCGCAAGGGGGGCGAACGCGACGAACGGCTGCGGGCAGTGAGAGGCAGCCCAGAATACACCTTCTCGCAGCTGCGCGAGACGAGCTTTAATATCTCGGAGCGACAGCCTCAAAGAAAAATGGATGGGTGGCGGGGGACGATCGCTGGTCTAAAGTACAACGACCTGCAGAGCGGGATGCAGGCCTGAAGCCATTCTCGTTCGCTCCCCCGTGCTTACTAAACCAGTAACTCATCAGTGCCCTCCACGGTGCGGGTTGCAGGCGCTCCTGCAGTGCGACGCCGTCGAGCGCTCCTTTGCGATGTGGCAGGAGGGCCTGCCGTGGATGATCGCCATCCTGCTGCTCGAGGCGTCGGTCCGCTCAGAGGTCGCCATCCACCACGGCGCT